CTCTCTCTCTCTCTCTCTCTCTCTCTCTCTCTCTCTCTCTCTGTGTCTCTCTCTCTCTCTCTCTCTCTCTCTCTCTCTCTCTCTCTCTGTTTCTGCTTCCCTCCCACCCTCCCTCCTTTTTAAAACTCCAGGTACCGTTTCCGAAGTCAGGCCCGTCTCTCCTTGAAATTATTCTTTCCTTTTCCTTTTTTGGTTTTAACAGCCAGTAAACCAATCTTATAACCATGGACTTTGATAATAGAAACACCATAAGAATTATGTGCGGAAATATCTGAAATCTTTCTATATCGTGACAAAAAAAACTCTGAGAACCTGCGAGGCCAATGGTTCCCCCACTCCTTTCTTATTTATGAGACACCCTGGATACAGATTTCTTTTCTTTCTTGTTCCATGTTATTTTTTTCCCACCTGTCTTGAAACGGAAACTGCATGAGCTTTGATAAATGCTTGAAATTTTCCCTTGCTTTACTGCTAAGCCTGTGTACCTCTGTACGTCCTTCTGAAACGCCATTTGTTAGTTCTGTAGCAGCGCTGCTCTCGGAATCACATTAGACAGCTCTCAGCCCCTACAGAAAGGAGGTCGGCTCCAGAGTTCTTCACCGTGGGAAACGGTACTGACCACGCCATTAAGATGGCGTGATTTACTATTGTATGCTGAGCACCCTCCATGGGGTTTGGGTATCAACTTCCTGGAGATCTGTCTCTCTTCTGTTACCCACACGCCAGTTTTTTAGCTGAATTATAGCAATGACACATTCAAGGGACCATCCAAAGTCTAAGTCAAAGAATCTTTCAACCTGTTCCAGGCCCACACACCAAGGCCTCACCCTCAGAGTCTCTGATTCAGGGAGGCCGCGCGAGGTCCAGCCATTTGTATCCCTAAAAAATACCCAAGTGTTGTAAATGCTGCTGGTTTGGGGACCACGCTTAGAGACCCAAAGGTGGCTAGAATGGCCCACTTCAGATAACACAGGTAATATCAGAATAAGAACTAGAATCCAGATCACTTGATTCCTTGAATCCCATGCAGTGTCTCCTATACCATGCTTCGAACCCACTGCTTCAAGGTGCAAATATGTATCTGCTTGGTGCGTTAGCCTCTCATTGGGAAAACAGACTCCTTTATTCAGAAAAAAAGGAATTATAATTTAGAAGGCTCTCACTTCTCCGACTGCTCAAATTTCTGAGGAAAATAACATGCATTAGTACCTCCACAGTAAAGGCAGGAAACAGTCATCAGTCAATCTCTTCTACTCTTGAATGCTTCCTGGTTGGGAAAGCAGTGACACACAAGCCTGACTGATTTTTAAATGATCTGTGTTTTTCAATTAGTGTGGATGATCATAAAGACATGATTACCGTAAATGCTTGCCAGGTGGCATATCGTGGGGAACGCCTTTGAGAATTTAGGAGTTAATATGTGTGCTATGTGAGCACCTACATTGGCTGAACAAATATAGCATTAAAAGCAACCTTTAAGACAAATCACGTTGAGTGAATATTCATTCGGTCTACAAAAAGCCTCATCAAGGTGATTTCTTGATGCTGGAAGTTTAAGGTCACATTCTCCAGGGGGAGGCAGATAACTAACACAGACCTCCCACTCCTCACCTCCCCATCCAGGAGAAAGGAGTATGTGGGCATTTCAACAGGCTCCCTAGAACCGCAGTTATCAACCTTGGATGCACCTGAAAATCCCCTGGGGGGGCTTTGGAAAATCCTGATGTCCAAACTGTACCCCAAATCTGTTAAATGAGAAATCCTGTGGCTGGGAACCAAGCAAGAGGATTTTTAAAGCTCTCCACATGATCCCAGTGTCCAGCCAGGGTTGAGAACACTTTCCCCAATCAATGGGTCTCAGATGTGAGCATGATCAGAATCTCCTGAATGGACTGTTCATCAGATTGCTGGACCCCACCTCCAGAGTTTCTGATGCAGTAAA